GGCTCTCGCTTTCCCAGCAGAACCACTCAATGTGAGCTTCTCTTTCTCATTTCCTCCTCTCCATTTCTTATTTAAATTAAAAGGTGCAAAGAGTAGGAAGGATCATTCTGGATAGCTTACGTTTCATCTAAATATTATGCACGAGATCCAAATAACAGGATTATATTCTCTATTTTACATTCATCTGTGGTCAGTTGAAGCCTCTTTTTTTTTTTTTCAACATTTGCTCATATTTGTCCTTTCTAGTTTCTCATCTGTGGTCAGTTGAAGCCTCTTTTTTCAACATTTGCTCATATTTGTCCTTTCTAGTTTTGTTCCCTTAAATCAGCGGTTCTCAACCTGGGGGTCGCAACCCCTTTGGGGGTCGAATGACCCTTTCACAGGGGTCGCCTAAGACCATCGGAAAACACATATATAATTACATATTGTTTTTGTGATTAATCACTATGCTTTAATTATGTTCAATTTGTAACAATGAAATTGAGGGTCACCACAACATGAGGAACTGTATTAAAGGGTCGCGGCATTAGGAAGGTTGAGAACCACTGCCTTAGGTCAGTGGTTGGCAAACTCATTAGTCAACAGAGCCAAATATCGATTGAACTTTCTTTTGAGAGCCAAATTTTTTAAACTTAAACTGTATAGGTAGGTACATTGTGATTAACTTAATTAGGGTACTCCTAAGGCTTAGGAAGAGCCACACTCAAGGGGCCAAAGAGCCGCATGTGGCTCGCGAGCCGCAGTTTGCCGACCACTGCCTTAGATGATTGACCTTCTTCTATGAACTAAGTATGGCCAGGATATAATCACACTAAGTAAACTGCTATGGATTCATACTGAGAAAGAGTTTTTCTCATGCCCTACTCCTTGAAACCAATTTCAGTTGATTTCCACCCAATTTAGCGATATTTTTTTACTTGTCTATCCCAATATGAGACTCCATTAATCCCCCAAATATCTCTTGAGTCCTTAGTGTCAGCCCCAGTTCTGTGTGCTGGGGATACACATTGTCCTCTGTTCTGAGCAAAACAAAGTCCTGCTTGTCTGGGCTTCAGTCTGGGCCCTTAGAGTGAATGCAATAGATTACTAATGATGAGGGTAAAAGCTGACATATAATCATGTTGAATTTACAGAGAGCAAACATATAACTAAATGCCTCCAACTCTCCCATTGCTATAAGGAGAGAGAGAGAGAGAGAGAGAGAGAGTTAGTTTGGAGGGTTATGGGAGGCAACAGCTGAAATGGAAAACAAATACAGGGAGGACAGAGTGGAAAATGCAGGGAGAGGTTTCTCCCATAGCTATTTTCTAGAAATAGAAATAGAGATGTGCAGTTTCTAGTTATAAATTAGGGAAGACAACAAGAAAAGGAAATGCAAGATTAATTAAGATTGATCATAAATGGTAAAATGGAGGTTAATATTTTAAAATTCAGCTTTCAATTTAAAAGGGTAAAATTACACAAAGGGAAATTATACATGAAATAGAAGAACAAATTGTTTTGTGATTTTAGAAAAAAACAATTTATTCTTCACTGTCCCTGGGCACTTTCTGGTTTAGAACAGAAAAGCCATTTCTCTTTTGACCCCAGGAGGGCAAGAACCCAGTGCCTCCAATCCCGCAGCATATGAGTTGCTATTAGTTTGGCAGGTATCCGTGTACATTAAATGTAAACTAAGTATATTGCTTCTCAGATTCAGATAACCTGTGTTAAGCAGTTACCAACTCACTGCTCATTTAAAAAGTTTGCCTAGCCGAAACCAGTTTGGCTCAGTGGATAGAGCGTCGGCCTGCGGACTGAAAGGTCCCAGGTTCGATTCCGGTCAAGGGCATGTACCTTGGTTGCACGCACATCCCCAGTGGGAGATGTGCAGGAGGCAGCTGATCGATGTTTCTCTCTCATCGATGTTTCTAACTCTCTATCTCTCTCCCTTCCTCTCTGTAAAAAATCAATAAAATATATTAAAAAAAAAATAAATAAAAAGTTTGCCTAGTATCCGATTCCATGAGTCTAAATGCTCCTCGATTAGCCTAGGACAGTAATGGCAAACCTTTTGAGCTCGGCGTGTCAGCATTTTGAAAAACCCTAACTTAACTCTGGTGCCGTGTCACAATAGAAATTTTTTGATATTTGCAACCATAGTAAAACAAAGATTTATATTTTTGATATTTATTTTATATATTTAAATGCCATTTAACAAAGAAAAATCAACCCAAAAAATGAGTTCGCGTGTCACCTCTGGCACGCGTGTCATAGGTTCGCCATCACTGGCCTAGGACATGGGCATTCTCCACTGTGCTGGCAGTGTCTGGCGTAGAGCAGATGCTGTAAATTTTTTGCTGGGTTGAGTGGGACTGAACTGGAAGTCGAAGCTGTAGGTAGATGGCAGTATGACATCTTTCTATGCAGACAGTTAGGAACTTTACACCCATCTCTCTGTGATCTGGGAACAAGTTTCTAAATGTTTCATCGTCTCAACTTTCTCATCTGTAAAATGGGAAGCTTATAGCTGCCACAGTTACTGTGAGGATTAAATAAAACAATCTGGATACTTAGCACAGGGCTTGGCTCATTCCTCTCAATAGTGGTAGTTATATTACGTTGCATAAGAGCACTGACCACATTCTACAGTACAATTACTATGAGTTGAGAAGAGCTGAGCGCTCTTTAAAGGAAGTTGAATTAAACCCATATTTCACCAACTAAAAAGTTACTTACAAATTAATCACATGTCAAAAGATTTTCCCCCCTGATATTTTGGAAGTATGAACTAGTTGACTTTGGGGGGCACAGGCTGAAAGTTGTTATCTCTTTATTAGCTGTACCTCTGCTAGACCCTGCCTGAAACCTCTAGTTAAGATATTTTGGCAGAGGGCAATGGTCTAATTTTGGTGAATGTAATAAAATTGGGTTAAAATGCTCACATGCTATGGCAGTAACCAAACCCCTATGACACGTTGTTGTTAGGTTGGCTGATGTCAGTGCCAGTACTTCTGGAGGACACAAATGCATGTTGCCTGCACCCAAGTAAAGTTCAAGTCCTAAACAGCCTTCAGAGGAGGAGAGATGTAGGTTCTTCTAGAAGAGTCAGTAGCGGGAAGAATCCAACTGAACTTTTAGTTGGGAGTCATTTCCCTTATAAAGGGAGGGGGTCCTAAAGGGGCCATTATGTGAGGTCAGGAGGAGTCCGCGGGGCTGGCTCATGGATGATTCACCCGCCCCACTCTAAGTGGCCTGCAGCCCTACTGTGTGCCTCGGGGCTGGTGCCTGAAGGCGCGCTGCCTTGGGCGCACGCAGTCCGGCCGTCCGCGAGGTTAACTGTGCACTGGCCACGCAGGCCTGCCCTCTGGAGAGAGTCTCCAGCCC